GGAGACTTCCTGTTGCTCTCCTGGGACAGACCTACTTCCTTTACTTCCTCTGTGCAGGACAGACTTCCTGTGTTTCTCCTGTTCAGGACACACTTTCTGTTGCTCTCCTGAGATAGACCTACTTTCTGTTCTTCCTCTGTGGAAGACACACTTCATGAGTTTCTCCTGTGCAGGACACACTTCCTTCTGCTCTCATGAGACAGATGTGCTTTCCATTTCTCCTCTGTGCAGGACACACTTCCTGTCACTCTCCTGTGCAGGACACACTTTCTGTCACTCTCCTGAAACAGATGTACTTCCTGTTCTATCTCTGTGCAGGACACACTTCCAGTGTGTGTTTCTCCTGTGTAGGACACACTTCCTATTGCTCTCCTGAGACAGACCTACTTCCCATAGTTCCTCTGTGAAGGACAGACTTCCTGTGTTTCCCATGTTCAGAACACACTTCCTGTTTCTCTCCTGAGACAGACCTAATTCCTGTTCTTCCTCTCTGCAGGACACACTTCATGTGTTTCTCCTTTGCAGGACACACTTCCTGATGCTCTCATGAGACAGACATACTTCCTGTTCTTCCTCTTTGCAGGACACACTTCCAGTGTTTCTTCTCTCCAGGACACACTTCCTGTTGCTCTCCTCACAAAGAACTACTTTCTGTCTTTCCTCTGTATAGGACACATTTCCTGTGTTTCTCCTGTGCAGGAAACACTTCCTGTTCCTCTCCTGAGACAGACCTTCTTTCTGTACTTCCTCTGTGCAGGACAGACTTCCTGTGTTTCCCATGTTCAGGACACACTTCCTGTCACTCTCTTGAGACAGACCTACTTCCTGTTCTTCCTCTGTGCTGTGCAGGACACACTTCCTCTGCTCTGTGCAGGACACACTTCCTCTGTTTCTCCTGTGCAGAACACACTTCCTGTTTGTCTCCTGAAACAGACGTACTTCCTGTTCTACCTCTGTGCAGACACACTTCCTGTGTTTCTTTAGTGCAGGACACACTTGCTGTTGATCTTCTGAGACAGACGTACTTTCTGTTTTTCTGCTGTGCAGGACACACTTCCTTTGTTTCTCCTGTGCAGGACACACTTTCTGTGTTTCTCCTGTGCAGGACACACTTCCTGCTGCTCTTCTCACACAGACCTACTTCCTGTTCTTCCTCTGTGTCGGACACACTTCCCGTGATTCTCTTGTACAGGACACACTTGTTGCTCTCCTGAGACAGACCTACTTTTTGTTCTTCCTCTGTGCAGGACACACATATGTTAATTCTCTTATGTGGGACACACTTCCTGATTCTCTCCTGAGACAGACATACTTCCTGTTCTTTCTCTGTGCAGGGCACACTTCCTGTGTTTCTCCTGTGCAAGACATACTTCCTGTGTTTCTTGTTGCTCTCCTGAGACTGGAGACTTCCTGTTGCTCTCCTGAGACATACCTACTTCCTGTTCTTCCTCTATGCAGGACACACTTCCTGTGTTTCTCCTGTGCAGTACACACTTTCTGTTGCTCTCCTGAGACAGACGTACTTCTTTTTCTTCCTCAGTGCAGGACACATTTCCTGGGTCTCTCCTGTGCATGACACACATTCTTTGTCTCTCCTAAGACAGATGTACTTCCTTTTATTCGTCTGTGCAGGACACACTTTCTGTGTTTCTCCTGTGGTAGACACACTTCCTGTCACTCTCCTGAGACAGACAGATTTTCTGTTCCTACCCTGTGCAAGACAGACATATTTCCTATTTCTCACCCGTGCAAGACACACTTTCTGCTTTTCTTCTGTGAAGGACACTCCTCTTCTTTCAGCTGTGTGAATTACACACTTTGTGTGCCTCTCCTATGCAGCACACACTTTCTATTTCCCCTCTGTGCAGGACGCACTTCCTGTTTCTTTTCTGTGCAGAACACACTTCTTGTCTCCCCTGTACAGGACACATCTCCCATTTATCCTCTATGCAGGACACAATTTTTGTTCCTACCCTGTGTGAGACATACTTCCTGTGTCTCCTTTTAGCAGGACACACTTATTTTTCTTCCCTTATGAAGCACACACTTTCTGTTCTTCCCCTGTGCAGGCCACATTTCTTGTTACTCTCCTAAAAGGTGGACACACTTCCAGTTCCTCCCCTGTGCAAGACTTATTTCCTGTGTCTCTTCTTTGCAGGACATACTCCCTGTTTCTATCCTGTGCAGCACACACTTTACATTGCTGTTCTGTGCAGGACACACTTTTTATTGCTCTTCTGAGACAGACATACTTCCTTTTTCACCCTTGTCTTTCTTTTTCTTTGTTTTTTCCTCTCTCTGTCCTTTCTATTTTTTTCTGCTTTCTTTGTCTCCTTCCTTCCTTCCATTCTTTCTTTCTTTTATTCTTTCCTTTTTTTGTTTCTTTCTTTTCTTTGTTTTTTTCTTTTCTCTTCTCCTCCTCCTCCTTCTTTTTCTTCCTCTTGTTCTTCCTCTCTTGTAGAGTCAGGGTCTCACTATGTTGCCCAGGCTGATCTTGAACTCCAGGGCTCAAACAATCCTCCTGACTTGGCCTCCCAAAGTGCTAGCATTATAGGTGTGAGCCAATGTGCCTGGCTCAGCCTTTTTATCAATATTTGTAGCCACAGATAATTATTTCAAAACAAGTAAGTAATATTTCCCTCAAAAAAATCTTTGTCTTTCTTCTCCACCTCCCCAAATATTCACATAGTTTCCTGTTAAGAGCCACTCAGAGTGGTTGGCAACATATTAAGGGAATAATTAGGGAAGTTATAGGATAATTGTCTCAAACCTTTTGGAAGGCAGAAAGATTTTTATTAAATAATGGGACAGGCTGAAGACACCCGGTTCTTATCTTAGAGCATTAGGTTATAGGGTGAAAATTAGAAATAAACAGAAACTTCCCCAGTTAAGTCTGTTTACCCAACATTCCTTTGTGACTAACTGTTTACTCATCTCCCTGTTGGGGAGGCCGAAGAGAGATTACCCATTAATGGCCTTTACTTTGGGCCCTAGAACCAAAAGCTTTTATCATTTGTAAAACCACTATTTTAACCATGTTAATTATCCATAAGCATGTTGACTTAGAACCTCTGTTACTAAATCTATACTGAACAAATGCGAGGAGAAACAGCTAGCAAGGGGTTGGATAGCTGCAATCGCCCTCTGGGAACACCTGATGACTTCCCTAGCCCATTTGATCACTGTGCTGTGTGTTTGAGTGTATTTATTCATCCACCACTGAGTCAGGGTTTGCAGAATAGACCTCCACAGGTGGTATCATCATCTCATTTTCCTATGGCATGTGAATTTCCATTGCAATGCTACATTCCCAAATAAATATCTTTTCTTTTACAGAGTCTTTCTCTGTTATTTAGGGTGACACCAGTCACACTTAAATATTAAACCTTTACACATTTTTGTTTTCCATTGATGGCTTGATTTAAATCAGCATAACCTGTTTGTCAGGAAATCCTGATTAACAACTCTAAAAGTCCATAAAGGTGGTGTTCAAAGTTATTAATAAAGTTAAGAAAATGTCCAAGAATGATTGACTTTTACACACTTTCGTGAAAGAAAACTCTGCAGAAATAAAGTTTTAAGACATTTTGTCGCCTACCTGACGTGCGTGTCTCAATACTGATTTGTTTGCATAATAAAGTTGAATTCTTTTTTTTTTTTGAGATGGATTTTCACTCTTGTTACCCAAGATGGAGTGCAATGGCGCGATCTCGGCTCACCGCAACCTCCGTTTCCTTAGTTCAGGCAATTCTCCTGCCTCCGCCTCCTGAGTAGCTGGGATTACAGGCACGTGCCACTGTGCCCAGCTAATTTTTTGTATCTTTAGTAGAGACGGGGTTTCACCATGTTGACCAGGATGGTCTCGTCTCGATATCTTGACCTCGTGATCCACCCGTCTTGGCCTTTCAAAGTGCTGGGATTACAGGCGTGAGCCACCGGGCCCGGCCTAAACTTGAATTCTTAACTAATAAAATTGGAGAGAATTATCGTGGGATTTATCAACATACTGTGCTGAGATTTTTTTTCTGTCTTTACAGCATTTATATGAGAAGAGGCTTAAAGAAACCAACAAAAATAAACGTTTCTCTTTTGGAAGTGATTATAGAAAAACCACACCCACCACGATGATGTGATTCAAAGCATTTGGAACCTACAATTCATACTGGATATGTCATTTTTTTAGGATGAGCTTTATGAGCTGGAAAAGAAATGACTTTGATACCAGAGTAAAATACAAAAAATCTAATTAGAAAAGTTTTTAAACAACTTTTATTTCTAGTCTTTGGAGACTAACAGAATGACTTGCATGGATATCCTGTGTAAAATGTTGGATAGCAGAAATGACAGAATCTAAGAGCACATTAGTTTACTACTGAAACCCCAGTCTGTGTTGAGAATACAAAATGGTAATCATGTACGCATTTTAGCACTGTTGTTTTCTAACCTCACTCTCAGCGATGCCCAGAGGCTACCCTCATGTCTTTGGGTAGTTTTTTATTCCCATTTTTATTCTTCCCACCCACCCTTAATCTCCTGTTGCCTATGAGAGCAATGGTGGCCAACGTCTTGTACAACATTAGATGCCAGAAGTAGGAAATTGCAAAGCATGTGATGTAACTGTTTTCTGTTTGTCTTTGCATCCACATTTGCACTGTGATCACACAGCAATTTACCTTGATTGTCTGCATAGTATAAGGACCACCTCCGAGCTAACAACGTTCTTTGCTTTATTTTGAATCTGTCTTCACCATCTGTAATTTTTGGCATACTATGGCTATTTCGATTAAGTGGATGCTCCTTTTTGCTATCCTATACCCGTATTTTTCTTCCGCATTTTTCCCATTTATTTTTTGTTTTCTTGGGAGTCTTCTTCTGTCACCAGGCTCACTGTCACATTGTCTTACCAATCTCAGGTTATCCTCCCACTTCCGCCTCCCGAGTATCTGAGACTACAGATGTGTGCCACCATGCCCAGCTAAGTTTTTTGCATTTTCTTGTAGAGATGGTGTTTCACATCTACAAGATGTTTTCCAGGCTGGTCTCAAACTCCTGGGCTCAAGCGATCTTCTTGCCTCAGCCTCTTAAAGTTCTGGGATAACAGGTATGAGCTACCATGCCAGGCCTGCATATTTTCATTCAAGCCCTTTTTTCTATTGAAGTGTCCACCCTACTCGTGTTGTGTTTGTGTGAATGTGTGTGTGTGTGTGTGTGTGTGTTGTACTTCCTGCATAAATGTCTTCTCTCTGAACTTATTCTCCTTTTCTGTCTCTGGTACCTCACTCTTGCCCAAAAAACTTGAATTTCTCCATAGAAGTTACATTTTCCCCATAGAAATTAGAATCTCTTTATTTTTCAAAGGGGATCATAGAATTCAGAATCTCTTTACTTCATGACCAGCCATAAGAGCTGAAAATATTACTGTAGCTCCCCACTGCCTTTCTGGGTAAAAACTAGCTCATCTCCATATTTCGTTTAAACCCAAATGAACTTGGTAGAAGTTGACTCAAGTGCATGGTTACTGTAATATTAATTTGGTAAAATTATGCCTAAGCATTTTCATAGAAACACAACTGATCACAGCAGCAAGTATGCACCTCTCACTCTCCTTAATTACAGTTAGATGTTGCATTTCCATCTTTGTGTATTTGTAGCAAGAAAGTTACACAGATTTGGAATATAAGTGTAGGCTAGGAAGAGGTGTCACCAGTCATTGACTCTGAGAAAGGTCCCTACAGATGCTGCCTGAAAAGCATTTCAATCAAGAGGATGCTGTATCCGGAATTCCAGTGTGAATTCATGCATCCAACACAATCCAGGGGAACAGAGACTCAGAGAGTTTCTCGGAGCTTCTTGGTGGTATATCTCAACACTCTTGTGTATCCAGGTAATGCAGGTAGACTATTTCACTGACTAAATTAGGTCCTCTTGTGTCCGATTTCTCTTACTACTAACTCTGTCTATATGAAGCATTTCTTCAAAAGTTTTTTGGTCTTCCTCACTTGCACATCAAACATGCAATAAAACAGAATATCAGTGATAATAAAACATGAATTGTTTATAGGAATGGCCTTTCCCTTATTCCTCAAAGAGATGATCACTCATAAGAACATTTGTTTGTCTATCTATCTATCTATTGATCGATCGATCGAGACAGGGGCTCACTCTGTATTCTCTTGCCTCAGCTTCTCAAGTAGCTGAGATTACAGGCGCACACCACCATGCCTGGCTAATTTTTGCATTTTTAGTAGAAACAATGTTTCGCTTTGTTGGCCAGGCTGAACTTGAACTCCTGACCTCAAGTGATCTGCCCATTTCAGCCTCTCAAAGTGGTGGGATTACAGGTGTGAGCCGCCATGCCCCCAGCCTGCTCATAAGAACATTTTTTGTGTAGGAAATCTCGACTTGATGGTGGCTTCAACCTGTCAAATGGCACATGGATAGAAATAAATGAAACCTAAGGTCAAAGTCAAGATCCAAGTATTCTGATGGTCAGTAGCAGACTCAGAGTTTTCAAAACAAATATAGAGTCAACAGCAGGGGTCTCAAAAGTAAGGAAGCTCACATGCATACCTGCCCCAATTTCGATCCTCTGAGCTGTACTGTAACATAAGGTGGTGAACGCTTTATTCACAAAAATGTTAATAACTTAATTAAGCAAGATATATACAATGTCTGACACACAGTAATTATTTAAACATCATCCTGGCTAAAAAATAATGTTTTCTTTTCAAAAGAAATAATTCAGAATTTTATTTTTTAAAGTTAACTACCTGCTGCATGCTTTCAATTATATGATGTTCTGGAAAGGACAAAACTTTGGAGACAATAAGATCAGTTGTTGATATGGGTTTGTGGAGGAGCGATGATATAAATAGGTGGAGCACAAAGGATTTTAGAGAACGTTAAACTATACTGTGTGATAGTATAGTGTGGGATGCATGTCATGGATTTGTCAACACTCTCAGAATGCACAACACCAACTGTGAACTTTAACTGTCAACTTTGGGTCATGATGATGTGTCAGTCCCATGAATTGTAGCAAATGCACCACTCTAGTGGGAGATGTTGACTGGTGGAGGCTGTGTCTGTCTGGGGGCATGGAGTATGTGGATACTCTCTGTACTTTCCACTCAATTTTGCTGTGAACCTAAAACTGCTCTAAAAATAAAGGTATATTAAAAATAATAATATGGTGGTTGAGCACGGTGTCTCACGCCTGTAATCCCAGCGCTTTAAGGGGCTGAGGTTAGCCGATCATTTGAGGTCAGGAGTTCAAGATGAGCCTGGCCAACATGACAAAACCCTGTCTCTACTAAAAATAGAAAAAATTACCCAGGAGGGTGGTGTGCGCCTGTAGTCGCAGCTACCTGCGAAGCTGAGGCACGAGAATCACTTGAACCCAGGAGGAATAGGTGGAAGTGAGTGAAGGTCATGCCATTGTACTCCAGTCTGGGTGGCAGAATGACCCTACATCTCAAAATGATAATAATAAAAATATGGCGGAAATATTGCTTGAAGCCTTGGCAAGATGATGAGACCCCATCTCTATATAAAATAGAAAAATTTGCTGGGCATGGTGAAGTGCACCTGTACTCTCAGCTACTCAGGAAGCTGAGGTGGAAGGATTCCTGGAGCTTAGGAGGTTGAGATTTCAACGAGTCATGATCACAACACTACACTCCATCCTGGGAAACAAAGCAAAATCTCATCATGAAAGATAAATTATTACTACTACTACTAATAATAATGAACACCTACATGCTTGATGGAAACTTTGATGTCTATTAAAAATTCTTGACCAGGCATGGTGGCTCACGCCTGTAATCCTGGCACTTTAGGAGGCTTAGGCAGACAGATTGCTTGAGCCCCATAAGTTCAAGACCAGCCTGGGCTACATGGCAAAACTTCATCTCTATTGAAAAAAAAAACTTACAAAAAATATTGGTGCGTTGTGGTGGTTGCATGTGCCTGGAGTCTCAGGTACTTGGGAGGCTGAGGTGGGAGGATCAGCTGAGCCTGGGAGGTGGAGCTTGCAGTGATCCAAGATTACACCACTGCCCTCCAACCTGGGTGACAGAGCCAGACCCTGTCTTAAGAAAGATAAAAAATATCAGTGTCTTAAATCATTTGGCAATCAACATCAGGGATTAACACCATTAATTTCAAATTCTTTGTTGATTCTCTCCATACACTCTTGATGTCTATTGTATGATATAACAACTCTAAGTGTAATGAATACAAGATTAAAAAAACTTCTCAATATTTTCATCTAAAAAAGAAAGCTATAAAGTAAGTCAACACCTCTTTAAGAAAATCACTTAAATGTTTGAGTAAATTGCTATTTGTGCAAATTGAGCTGTGCTGGCTCAGTTTTGACTCACTCGAAGTGATGTGTGTGAAACAAAGCCTTCCTGTATTTGAATGTTCACACTGCAGTCTAACTGGCATGCAGTTGACATTGTGAAACAAAGCCTTCCTGTATTTGAATGTTCACACTGCAGTCTAACTGGCATGCAGTTGACATTGTGAAACAAAGCCTCCCTGTATTTGAATGTGTACACTGCAGTCTGATTGACATGCAGATAATATTGTGAAACAAAGCCTCCCTGTATGTGAATGTGTACACTGCAGTCTGATTGACATGCAGATGACATTGTGAAGAACAGTACCCATCATGTAACAGGGTATCTCAGAGGTGCAGGGAGGCAGAAGGATATGTTGAAGATCGCATGTTCACTGAGCTTTAAAGCTGAGATTAAAGTGCAGGTCTGACTAGCTTGCAAGTCATGTTGTTTGTGCTACCTCAGATATCACCAAACTGTTCTTTTCTCAAGGTTGGGTCAAGGTTGGACAGAAGCAAGCAGAAGTTTTAAAGGTTGGGTCCAGGTTGGACAAGCAGGAGTTTTAATCCTCTGTCTCCATCCTTGTATGCTTTTGTGAGCCAGAAAGGACTGTGCAGAACCCACAGGCCAGGGCCACCTTGAGTAGGACTGAAGTCACACAGAGCATCGATGCAGCCAGCAGACTTGCAATGATGGCTGTCACCTGCTCTCCAGCCTCGTCCCAATCCACAGTGTTGACAGCTTTCACGTTCTTTCTTTAAGATTGAGTGCTAACCTGCAGATGTCTCTTGGATTGGGAGCTCGGGCTGTGACTCCTAGTGCTAAACAGAGCACCTCACTGCTGAGAACGAGGAGGTCTCAGTGTGAGGAATAAGGGAATGAAAATCGAGGGACCCTCTCCTGTATCTGAGAAGGGCTTTGGCTAGCACTGTTTCAGAGGCATATGGAGAATTTAGGGACAATAACTTCTGTTATTTATCCTGTTGTCCAGACCATTTATTCTTTCTATTTCTATGTTTTTATTTTATGTATGTATGTATATATGTATCATCTATGTGTGTATGTATGTATCTATCTGTCATCTACGTGTGTATGTATGTATGTATCTATCTATGCATCTCTCTATACATCTCTCCGTATGTCTGTTTTCAGGTTGCTGATAAAGACATACCCGAGACTGGGTAATTTATATGGGAAAGGGGGCTTATTGGACTTACAGTTCCGTGTGGCTGAGAAATCCTCATAATCATGACAGAAGGGAAGGAGGAGCAAGTCCACATCTCATGTCTTACATGAATGGCAGCAGGCAGAGAGAGGGCTTGTGCAGGAAAACTCCCCTTTTTAAAGCCATCAGATCTCATGAGAATTATTGACTATCATGAGAACAGTGCAGGAAAGACCTGCTCCCATAATTCAATCACCTCCCACTAAGTTCCTCCCACAACACATGGGAATTGTGGAACTTACAATTCAAGATGAGATTTGGGTTAGCACACAGCCAAACTATATCACTATCCAGCTAGCTACCAACCCACTGAGCTACCTACCTATCCACCCATCCATCCATTGATTTCATCTATGTATTCCATCTATCTAACCATTCATCCATGTATTCCATCTGCTTATCTCTGTATCTAGCTACCATCTATCTATCCATCCATGTAATCTTTCTCTTCTTTCTTCTATCTACCTATTTTATCTATCTATCCATGTATTTATCTCATCTATCTGTTAATTATCCATTATCCATCTCATCTAT